AAGAAGAAAAAGATGGTGAAGAAGAAAAAGATGGTGAAGAAGAAAAAGATGGTGAAGAAGAAAAAGATGGTGAAGAAGAAAAAGATGGTGAAGAAAAAGATGGTGAAGGTGTGAAAGTGGGAGTTGACATTTGTAAATTTTCACTTTCATTTGAATTTGGTGATAATAAGGTAGTATGCCCAGAAAGTTTTTTACTTTTACTATTTCTATCTGGCTTAAATTTATAACCGGGGAATGCATATAGCAAATATTTTTTTCCCAAGTCGGCAACTTGCATGAATAGATAATTCACGGCGGGGTTAGCTTTAGTTTGCTCTTTCCATTCTTTGGTTGCCAAAGCAGATACAAAATCTACTCTTTTTCCTGGGTCGGTTTTTCTGTAACCTTCCTCAAAATTTTTGCGAAAAGACATGAAAGAGTTTAGTGGCCTTGGTGGTTGGTCCCTTCTTTTATTCTTATACTTAGCTCCCTCTCTTGAATTTTCGGACATTTGGATTAACTTATCCAAGGATAAGTAAATTGGATAAGCGGGATTTTTAAACAATCTTTCAACTTTCTTCCTCTGTTGTAAATACGCCTCTCTCGGAGTTACTGGAGGGTCATTAAAATTTTCGGTAATGAACTGTAAATTTAAAGACATTATTAAATAAGTGGAAGAAGGTTTTATTTGTTTTAAATATTTTGAACGGTTTAAACGAAACGAAGAATTCGTAATTGAACAGTTAGAATGGGCAATTATATTCATTCGAATTTTCCGGTGAAACATGAAATCCATTTCTAGCCACAAAACCAAGGTGATACTAAGTAACACATTGTTTTTCGCGCAAATGTAAATAATTAAATATTCTCTACCAATTAAAAAGGTTCCAGCTAGTACTATGGTTTAACCGCAGGTGCAGAAATGGCTTTTCATGATTATGAATGAGTAAATAATTACAACAATTACAGCTGATTTTTTCTTTTTCAATATTAGTCTTCACTGAAATTCATAAGACTTTTTGTTTGATAAACCAATTTATAAAGTAATATATTCTTGACCTCTTATAATGAATTTAATTTATTCAACGTGCAAATTTATTATTTATATTTAACAAAAGCCTCAAAAGAAAATAAAATTGCTGGCCCAATAAAGATAATAATGATTCTGTAATGAAAGATGTGATAGCAAAAAAATAAAACGTTATTACTGTACTTGATGCAGTGTTCCGACCCTTAACCTATGATTCGGATTGGAATGAATCCGCGGATTATCCGTGGATTAAATTTTATTTAAAATTTTCTTAGTTCCTATTATAGAGGTTCCGCACTGTACCTAGGATAATCCGCGAATAAGCCGTGTTACCAATGCTCGGATTTCTTTTATATTAATCTATTTATGGAAAAAAATTTTTTCTCAATTTTCTTGGTTTTTATGTGAGCATTGCACGATGCAATTATAGCCAATAAAAAATTCAAGAAAATTTGATAGGTATAATTAAAATACAGGAACTTCAAAATTTTAACCAATAATTCTGAAAGCTTAGGTTAAAATTTTATTTCTATATATAGTATTCCTATTATAGAGTTGATTTTTTTACCCCACGTGAATTATAGACCTATAATTTAACAGGGAGCGTCCTTATTCTGGACCCCTGGTTCAGGGTGAAATTTATGAACCCCCGGGGGTCTAGAATAAATGACCTAAACCCTGGGGTCTAGTTTAAGTTTTCTCTTTAACAGGTGATCAGAAATATAACACGTGTTATGTTGTGTTATGTTCATGTGACAAATTTTGGTGACAAATATTAGGATTCTGTATGCGAAAAAATTAAGCCCAAGATATTTAATAAAAATCGATATTCGAAGGGTGTGACATACGGTGATAAATATACTACCCTTGACCCAAACCATGCATTTAGGCACGTGGGGATGAAAATCTGTTGGGTAGTGCGGATTACCTAGTGAATTATTTTCAATTCACGTGTTTTTAAAGTTTTGTTTATTAGGAAAATAGTAAAAGTAGTCTTAAAAAATGTTAAAGGTTTCAACCCTATTTCTTAAAAACTGAGATTCGAACGGTTTAATTTTAAATTTTATAAACTTTAAAAATTATTATTGAAAATTAAAAACGCTCGCAATAGATCTGAAAATTCTATTGTAAGTATTTTAATTCAAGCCTTCAGATTTATTAAGACTTTTTTGACATTTTCCTAATAAATAAAAAACTTTTATATATTGCAACGGTAGTTAATTATTTTCAAGTTTTTTTTTTTAAAAAAATGGATGACACGCGGGTAATTGAAACGGATAATCCGGATCGACAGAATTTCCTTTTATATGATTAATAAAATTTAGTGTATCAAAAGCGAGCTAACCTCACTAACCTCTTCATTTGATTCATTAGTGCTTGACCTTTTCATTTGATTCATCGTGCGTGACCACTCATTCATGCATAACTTAATGCCTAAATTAAGAAATAATTCATTGACAATTTATAAGCGAATCTACTAATAACAAACTCATTTCAAAATTCTTTTTTGTTTATATAACAATTGATACTAGGACGGAGCATAATGTAATAGTGATCTTTATCTAATCTAATAAAAAAAAATCGGGAGGAGAAAGTTACGTTTTGATAATTTGCATCAAAATTTATTACTTTAGTAATCAATTTGCTCATCCTTCGGACAATAAACTTAAAAGGTAATAAAAAAAATAAGCATAAAAAAATTTCTTAAAAATTTGTACCATTTATTTTCGTTGAATGTTGAAACAAAATGTTACGCAAAAATTAAAATGGTATAAGTCCCCGAAATTATATTAAATAAAACGTAAAAAAATAATTTTGATACTGGTAGATCATACATCGCGTTCTTTATATAAGAAAGAAAATAAAACTTCAAAGTTTTCTGCAAAAACATACTCAATTCTAGCGATATAGTAAAAATGGGTTTATTACATTTAATTATTCGTGATTTGAAACCTACTGATATCTTTATTGCATTTTTATCTGTGATATTTTTATATCTCTTTCATTTTTATTATAAACACTTTACTCGTATTAATCCACTTCCTGGTCCATTACCAATTCCATTAATAGGAAGTTTTGAAATTTTTAAAGGAGATATCGATGCTTGGTTTTATAGATTAAATAAAAAATATGGTCGTGATGGTGTATATGAATTAAATATTGCTGGCAATAGACAAATTGTAATTACTCGCACTGAATATATCGAAAACCTTTTATCATCATCTCATACCAGTAGACATATGAGAACTGCTAATAATGGTCTTTTAGATTTATTTGATCTTGATAATAAAGGTGTAGGACTTAATCATGATTACAATCATTGGAAATTTAATCGTCACATTTTTTTGACGGCTATGATGCCCTTAACTCATTCTCCCAAGCCTAGTAATTTTGTAAATATTTTATTTGAAGAAATGTCAAATTATTGGATTGATTTGAAACAAAAAGATGATGTAATAACTATTGATATAGCAACTTGGATTCGTCGATTTACATGTGATTTTATATCCCTTTTGACGACCGAGAAACAAGCTAATACAATTCATTATTATTATCGTAAATTAAAGAATGAAGCAATTACAAAAGAGATGATTGAATCCGAAGAATTTATTGAAAGTATAAACGTTTTTGTATCAGATAATCAATTCGTATTTGTACCGAAACTTATAAAAGATTTACCTTTTATTAAAAATCGAGTAAAGAGATTGTTGGATAATAATCATTTCTTTTATAAAAGATTGGAAGAAATCGTCAGAAGAAAAAGAAAAGAAATCGAATATAATAATAATTCTGATTTTAAATCAAAACAACTTGATCTATTAACTTCTTTAATTATAACTAATACTCCAAACGATCCTCAACCTCAAAAAAATGTTGATCCTTCGTTATTAAGACCAATGACTGATGCAGAAATACGAGGTGTTATGTTTGATGCTTTTGTGGCTGGTACAGATACGGTACGTATTATGTAATATATTAATATATGTCTTAAATAAAAATATTAAATTAAAATTAATAATATTTAATCGCATTTATAGACTGTGAATACTTTTTGTTTTGTAATATATTACATTTCACATAATCCAAGTGTTAAAAAGAAATTGTTGGAAGAGATCAAATCAGTTTTCAATGATGATCCAAACAGACAAGTAACAATTGACGATCTTGAAAAATTAAAATATTGCGAAGCAATAATTAAAGAAACATCGAGAATAAGACCTACAGTTAGTATGATTTCAAGATATAGTGATCAACCTGAGGAAATAGCAGGATACAGATGGCCAAAAAATATGTTATTTATATTGTATTCTCGTGGAATCAACAATAACCCACTTTATTGGAAAGATCCTGAAAAATTCATTCCAGAAAGATTTTATGAACCTCAAGAGATTGAAAAACAGCATGAAAATTCATTTTTAATGTTTGGTGGAGGTTCAAGAATATGTGCGGGTAGAAAAGTTGCAATGATTGAATTGAAAACATTGATAACTTTACTTTATAGAAAGTTTGATGTTGGATTAGTAGATATGCAAGCTCCCCTTAATGTTGAAACATCAACAATCACCATCTGTAAAGAATTAAACATCAAACTTATTCCTAGAGAATTAAAAACTAATTCATAAAACATTATAGTATAGTAGTTACTGTATGAACCCCCCGGGGAATCAGTATTAGAGTGCGTTTATAGAGGGAAATAAGTGTTATTAGTACAGTGTGTAATAAAAGTCTTTGCACTAATTTAACTACTCATTGATTTACAATTTACATGTTTAATATATCATTTGAAAGCTTAAAATAACAATTTTTTATTAATAATAAAATTAATAATTAATATGTTCGCCCTTATTTAAAATAATAAGTTCACATCGTTCCTTCATTGAATTTACTAAATTAATTAAAACATCTTGCGGGATATTTTCCCACTCCTCTACCATAAAAAGTTCCAATTAAGCCAGATTTTTGGCATACGTTTTTCTACATTTTTTTTTAACAATACTCCAAAAATTTTCTATAGAGTTGGACGGCCAATCAATGATTTGCGGTAATTCTCTTGAATGAATTGCTTGGCAACACGACTGGTATGCTTAGGTTCGTTATCCTGTTGAAATCGCCAGTTCTTGCTAAGCATACGATAAATCTCTGGAGAGTGTTTTCTAAGAATCTCAACGTAAAAGGGTCCATCCATAATCTGCTGAAAAACAAAAAAGACTTGTTTTACCGTGATAGCAAAACCTTCCCCAAGCGAAAATTTTTGATCGGTTCTTAGGTATACAGCGAATTGGCCGGATATATTCGCATAAATCAGGATTTATAAATTACAAATCGGAAATAATTTATCATCGTTATAACGTAATAACTTTTATTTTATTAAGTAAATATTGAATACTGCATTAAGTAAGTTGAAAGACAAGAAGGTTATCCATCTTTTGTAAAAATTTCAGACCTATATCATCAAAATTGAGCAAATTATGAACGACTAAATTTCGAACGGAAATAATTCATCGTGTTCGAAAATAACCGTTCATAATTTGCTCAATTTTGATGATATAGGTCTGAAATTTTTATAGGAGATGTACAATCTTCTTATCTTTCAACTCACTTAATGCAGTCTTCGACATTTACTTATTAAAATAAAAAGTTATTACGTCGTAATGATGATAAATTATTTCCGTTTTGTAATTTATAAATTCTAATATATGCAAATATATCCAGATAAATTTGCAATATATCCGGATAAATTTGCAAAAATATATTTGGATATATTCGACCACCTATGCATTAATTCACATATTTCAAATATATTTTCATATATCTGCATATTATAAAATTTATTCAGATATATTCACCCTCAAAAATTTCCTGATGTAGTATGTCTCCCAAGTCTGTGAAGTCCATTTTGAAACCCATTTCAACCTCATGGTGTTCCTACGAACTAACTAAAGGTGAATATAAGAAAGGGCAAAGTAAGTATGAGTTATTTATTTATTTATTTATTTATTTTTTTTTAAAAAAAAAATAACTAAAAAAAAAAACTCACCATTTTACCATACGTCCTCCAAGCTGTGATGCCTATTTCGAAGTCCATTTCAACCCCACGGTGTCCCCATGAACCAGTTAAAGGTGAAAAGAAGAAAGAGGGCAAGGTAAATATAAGTTATTTATTCACTTATTTATATTTTTTTTAAAAAAAAAATAACTAAAAAAAAAAAACTCACCATTTCGCCATATGTCCCTCCAAGTTTGTGAAACCCATTTCAAAAGCATTTCGATCTCATGGTGTCCTTACAAACCAGCAAAAGGTAAGAAGAAGAAAGATAGCATATTAAGGATATTATTAAAGCAAAGGATATATAAGTTTAGTTTTATTTTTTTTTTTAAAAAAAAAAAAAAGCAAAGATTAAAAAAAAAAAATTTAATAAAAAATAATTATCAGATCTATTGTGTTACAAATTTTAAATAAATAATTGGTTTCAAATATTTTTTCTGCTGCCAAAAATAATTTGAACTGTCAAAAATAATTTGGGTTACCAAAAATAATTTGGGCTGCCAAAAATAATTTGGGTTACCAAAAATAATTTGGGCTGCCAAAAATAATTTGGGCTTTGGGCTTTGGGCTTTTTTGACCTTTGAAGCCCAAATAATTTGGGCCTATTCTACCACCCAAATCCTAAATTATTTTGGAATTTGGGTGACATGTATATCGTCTGCCGGTTATTCTTAATGCAGTAAAAGAATATGCATCAGAAAAAATAGATTTAGGTACAAGTGTAAAAGAACTTCGGCTTAAGGAGGTTACAAATATCAAGTACAAAGTTTGTGGGGCTCTTGATGCTCATCTTATTGGTAACATTAATAAAGAACAGGATATTCAGAAGTCAATTTTTTTTTTGGAACAACATAAATATTATATTGAACGTTTTTTTATTTCTCACAAATTTATCAACGGATTTGTTTTTATTTATCCAAATCAAATTCCGAATCTTGAAAAATTCAGATGGCTATCTCTAATAGATTCTACCCATAAAACGAATCGATACGATTATCAATTATTTACTTTATATATTTGCAATAGATATGGGTGCTGGGATGTAGGTGCTCATTTTTTCATAAGTAACGAGGATTTGGATACTATCTCTGAGGCTTTAAAAATTGTTCGCCGGTTTGCACATAATTGGAAGTCCAGATACTTCCTTCAAGATCAAAGCAACATTGAAGAAAAGAGTATCAAGTTGGCTTTTCTGGGTCTTATAAATGGAGAACAAGAGTGCAAAGTTATTTTTTGTACCGTGCATCTTCAACAGACTTGGATGCATAAAATATATAAAGTAGATACTTAAAAAAAAATCACTCAAGCAATGTACAAATGGACACGAATTGGATGTGAAGCACTTATTCGAGAGGCAATTGATCAATGTCCAGTTCAGTCAATCAAACAATATATAAAATGATATTATTTTAAAAACAATCATCAATGGGCACTTTGGGCGTACCAGCATTTCCCTCTTCTTTTACAGGTAACTTCGATGAATGCATTGAAGTCATTTCATTCCGAGTTAAAAAGAACAACCTCTCCGCAACATGGTATAATTGATACATATTTTATTTTTTTTTATTAATGTTAATATTTATTTTTTTAATATTAATATTTATTTTTTTTTATTAATATTTATTTTTTTTATTAATATTTATATTTATTTTTTTTATT